AAAAAAAAAAAAATGAAAAAATCTCCGAAATCTCCGAAATATCCGATCCGTACCGAACCGACCCATTGGAACCGAATCTCCGGACCGAACCGAACCGAATTTCGGTTCGGTTCGGTCTGGAGATTTGTTAGGACCGGTTCGGTTCCGGAGATCCAGTTTTTCAAATCTCCGAAGTTCGGTTCGGTTCCGGAGATTTCTGGATCTCCGAACCGAACCGACCCGTGCTCAGCCCTACCAGCCAGCCAGTCAGCCAGCGCCAGTGGCCAGGCCAGGCAGCGCCCGTGTGCGTAGCACTTGGCAAGCCGCTGGCCGAGCCAGCACCGACTGCCCGGTTCAGCTGACCGGCAGTCCGGTCCAGACCGGTTCAGACCGGATGGACCGGTTCAGTCCGTATTTTCATGTGTCAGTCCCGGTTCTTGATTTCAGTACCATTTTCAGTTAAAATTCCGGGTCCAGTTCAGTTCAGTAAAGTCATGTCCGTTCAGTTCCGTACTTAACTGGTTTCAGTTATACCGATTAAGTCCGGATATCATGATAAGTCGAGTAGAGCATCTTAACACCATTAATCAGTTAATTTATCAGTCTGATTATAGTCCTTAGTAATTGTTTATATTATTTTTCAGTTTAATCAGGCATCAGCACTACCTGCATTTTCAGCAGTTCAGGTGGGGACTCAGACTAAGTATTACATTGATTATAATATCGCTACCATGTTTGAGGTATGTATATTCAGTATTCGCTCGGAATGGTCGCCGGTCCATTCTGGGTTCTAGTGGCCCTAATTTGCCCACTAGAGTGTGCACATGGTGTCCGGCATTAGATTTTTGCCGGCAGATGTTCAGGTTCAGACCCGTGACTTTTGTCACGAGATCAGTATCAGATTATCAGACCGGTATCAGATATCAGTTTCAGTTCAGTTCAGTTATATATGCCAGGATCATGATATTGTTATTATTTTCACTGTTTTACTTTAGTATGAGTTTCCACGGAGCACAGTGTTTTAGTGCTCACGTCCCACATATTTCATGTTTTTCAGGTCACGGAGTCGGGGACGAGGAGTGAGCTGACGAGCTGTTCAGGACATTTTGTTATGTTTTGTGATGTATATTATGTTTTGACCACACTACTTTCCGCTACTTTTCTTCAGTACTTAAACTCAGTTTTTGATCCGACGTTAGTCGGATAATACGATATATATATCCGTTTTTATTATAAGTTTAAAATTAACGATTTTTCAGTCAGATTTTCACGGTAGCACCCCGAATCAGCTTTCGCAAAAGAAATATTTTATTAAATTATTTAGAAAATTTGCGAAAATTGCGTACTCTGATATTATAAAATAGCAGGGTGTTACAATTGGTATCAGAGCACGTTTCTGCATCTCTGAAAATGACTAATCACACTCACTCCTCGCCGACTACAGGTAAGTGTTGTTTTATGTTTTCAGTTATAAACATATTACTATTGTCTACGCTCAAAAATTATTAAATCATGACTTAGTTAAGATGCTCGAATCAGGATCAGACTTTAGAACTCAGTGTACTCAGATATAACTCTAGACTCCTTCAGGATCTATATCAGTATTTCCCTGCCATATTTGGCATCAAGAGATCTGTGTACTTTAGAAATCAGTCAGAATATTTTTCATGTGTTCAATAATTTGAACTTTTCAATGATCAGATGCCGCCCCGTAGGGAACCCGCTCAACCAGTTCTTCCTCAGGCCACGGTGGTCGCACAGTTTCGCGACTATCACCCTGAGAAATTTTCTGGGCAGGGAGACCCCCGTATCGTGGACGAGTGGATTTAGGGCCTTGAATTTATCTTTGAGGTCATGGATTGTCCAGACAGATATCGCATAATCTGCGCTCAGATTCAACTAACCGGTGATGCCCGACTCTGGTGGAATGCCTACTGGAGCATGCGTCCCGACAAGAAGGCGGGATGTACATGGGATATGCTCAAGGAGCTGATCCGCGAGAAGTACTACCCTACCTACTACAGAGCAGAGATGGAGCATCAGTTTCTGTCGCTCAAACAGGGTACTCGGACTGTAGACGAGTACGAAAGAGAGTTTACCAGACTTGCAGCTTTTGTTCCTGATTTGGTTCGTACGGAGGCCCAGAGAGCACAACGCTTCATTGACGGACTTTACCCAGCAGTCCGTCATAACATTGTAGGTCACGGGACCCAGACGTACGCTCGTGCAGTTTCCATTGCCCAGGAGGTGGACGCCAGCATCAGGAGGGAGGCCATCCGTGATCGTCCTCAGCCATTCGCCCCCGCCCAGTCATCCATAGCTCCACCAGCCCTACCAGCTGCCCAGCCGACGAAAGAGAAGAAGAGGAAGGGGAAGGGCGCACAGACCGATAGGAGGACCCGACAGAGACAGCAGCAGGTTCCACAGTGCCCCACATATGGATGACTTCACCGAGACGAGTGTCGCTTCGGCCAGGATATATGCTACTACTGTCAGGAGCCCGAACACTTTGCTAACCGTTGTCCGAAGAAGGCCCAGCAGCAGCTCCAGCAGCCTCAGCAGCCACAGCAGCAGCTGCAGCCCCGTCAGCAGGCTCAGAGGCCACCACAGCAGCAGCAGCAGAGGGGCAGACAGCAGGCCCGAGTCTACGCAGTCGATTAGGTCGAGGCCGAGCAGCAGCCAGGTACTATGTCAGGGATGATCATCCTTAATAATATTCCTGTGTTCGCTTTATTCGATACTGGAGCGACACACTCTTTTATTTCACGACGATGTCTTGATGCCATCGGAGTTCATGCCGTTACCGCTGATGATCCTCTCGAGGTGAGTTTAGCCTCGGGATGAAAGATAGTGACTTCAGCCAGAGCTTCAGATCTTAGCCTTTCCATCGGTGGTCGCTCAGTCTGCCGACGCGTATGTTTTTGAGATGAGGGACTTTGACCTCATTCTCGGGATGGATTGGCTATCTTTTTATCATGCAGATATCAGATGTCATGACCGGGAGATTACTCTCTACCTCCCGGGAGATGAGT